AATCTTTCCATATTAATTTTGGAATAAAAATGAAACTAGAATTTTTAATTGTTACTTTACGGATCGGATTGATGTTTAAAATTAATAGCATTTGAATTTGTGGGTGTGTAGATATTGTATTTATTTATTTATATTTTTTTGTTTTTTCTTTCTTAACTCTAGAATAAATACTGAAAATTTATTTTAGTAATTATATAATAATCTATTTAATATAGAACTACATGTGCATATTGGGCATGATCACGTAAATCACGTCATTCGCTGGATTTTACAAATTACAACAATTTTGTGCAATTGAACGATTTCACAATTGAAATTTTTGTAAAATTATTTTAATAGAGCGAAAAATTTAAAGTATCTTCGTCATTTATTTTGTCACACAAAAAAATCACATATATCAATCATTAAAGACATGCAAAGAAAAAAAGTAAAATAATAATCAGTTGGTTCGGTAATATTGAAATTAATGACGCGTATGTTATGTCACGTTGAAATTTATGACGCATATTTGATATACTGGAAAACGGTCATTATTTAAGTAACAACACACTAAAATTTTTGAGTGATGATAAAATATTGAAAATCAATATATAAAAATATTTCGAAATGGGTATTCAAAAAATTATTATTTAATTAATTAATAATTTCTAATTCCGGATTTATTTAAACATAAAATTTGAATAATGACAAGTGAGTAATCACTGAAAACAGAAATATAAAAAATTTTGGTGCAATAGGCTCTTGATCTATGGTCTATTTAATGAATCTTTCCATATTAATTATGGAATAAAAATGAAACTAGAATTTTTAATTGTTACTTTACGGATCGGATTGATGTTTAAAATTAATAGCATTTGAATTTGTGGGTGTGTAGATATTGTATTTATTTATTTATATTTTTTTGTTTTTTCTTTCTTAACTCTAGAATAAATACTGAAAATTTATTTTAGTAATTATATAATAATCTATTTAATATAGAACTACATGTGCATATTGGGCATACCATGTATATTTAATCGACTTTTGTATATTATGTATAAAAAAAAACAATTTGTATTTACTTACCAAAATATACAAAATTTAATAATTGAAACTTCCATTGATATAATTCAAATAAAACAAAAAATAAAAAAAAACTAATAACTACCAAGAAAAATAACAAAAATTTAAATTTTTTATTTAAGTACCAAAAAATTTAACAAAAAAAAAACATTGGGGCCTGTCATCATTATTAAATGTGAATTTGTATTATTCACATTATTGTGAACCGAACATTCATTCAACATTAAAAAATTAGCTGTTAAAAATAGTTGCCATTGTGAATTGGAATTAATAATACAAGCTGTGTAACATTTGCACTGATTTTCTCTTTGGCGAAAGATAATTTTGTGACAATGATGACAGGGGGCCATTTGTTAATACAAAAACAAACCATTTTTGAGCGAGAATTTTCAATGGAAATTTTTTTTCTAATATTTTATATTATAAAAGAAAGGAAACGAAAAAAAAAAAATAAAAATTTTATTATTAAATAAAAAGAAAAATTTACATTGGAACTCAAAACTCGCCGGTAATTATTATTGTAAATAAGTTTGTGAATAAAAATTACAGCAATTTTGAAAAGAATAAAAAACTAAGAAAAAAAAATTTTTTTTTTTTTAAAACGGAATAAAAAACAGATAAAAAAATTCAATATTAATTAAAAATACTTTGTATAAAATAAAATAAATTTAAACCGAAAATTTAATATTAAAACAAAAACAAATTAAAAAAAGCGTACATACATACATAGCAAAAATATTTGTAATTCGAGTATTCAAACATGTACACAGAAGTGTGCATGCATATGTTAATAATTTATAAATGTCTTTTAAAATGAGTGAAAAATATTGTAATAGAAAAGGCTTTAAAGTTAAAAAAATAAAATAAAAATTTCCTTTTTGAATAATAATAAATTTTTTTTTTAATTTTCCTGCAATAAATAGCAATAATATACCAGAGTTTGCAATTTTTCAACTCTTGACAGATTTTGGTGCAAAAATTAAATGGCTATTATATAAATAACATTTTTTATTTTGACGTTTTCATATTAAAAACTTTTAATATTTTTAATAAACACATGGTGTTTAGTTAATTTTCTTCTGTAAATGTAGTAAATAAATTTGACAGGACATATATCATCACTTACAGTAGATGATTTTTAACAGAAATTCATCATGACAGTAGATGATATTTGACAGAAGATCATTATTTTAAATAATGATTTTTTTAATTAAATTAAATTCATAAATTATAATGTAAAACTTAATAAAGCTCTGGTATTTTTGAAAAATTAATCATATATACATACATAATTATATTTTATGTATAAAAATATATTAATGGAACAATTATAATAAAAAAATAAAATATAAAATTAGACTATGACAATCATTTAATTTTAGAGAATGTTATTGTCAAAAAAAAAAATAATTAAATAAATTTTTTTTTGCTTTAATTCAATTTTTAATGCTTGTTTGTTATACTCAATACTCCAAATAAAGGAACAATGGAAAATAAAGGAAAATGAATGAAAATATTCTTGTATAAAATAAAATGAAATAATAAGTAATTATAATAATAAATAAAGCAATTGAAAATAGAAAACGAATAAATTAAATAAATTAAAAAAATTCAGCTTTGAAAATTTTGAGTGCTTCAATTTTATATTTTTACTTATATAATAGAATAGATCAATATAGAATAACCAAAAAAAAAAAATGAATGGTAAAAATCACATGTATTAATTAAATTAAATATTTATTTTATTTTTCTTCTGTAAATTCCTTGTTCATATTATATGTGTAGCTCTTGAAGTAAAAGAAGAATTATTTTTTTAGTTCTAACTACTAAAAATTAATAAATTTATAAATATGTATAAAATTATCTAAATGTTTTTTCTATTTTCTATTTTCTTATTAAAATTTCAAGAATGAATTTTAATTATATTGCAAAGATATTTCATTTTAATTATAAATATTTCAGATTTTCAAATTGTGTTTAAAATAAAATTTAAAATTAAAAAAAAAATTGTATACAAAGATGAAACAGAAAAGTTTGACATTTACTAAATATTTGTAAAAAATTTTTGAGACTGTTTTTGCAGTAAATACGCCTCTGATATATTGTCAACATTTCTGTTGTTGATACATTATCAAGATAACAGAAAATTGTCATTGGCAACATATGTTCTGTTGTAGCATCATTTTAATAAATTTTGTTAGTGTATTATTTGGATGGGTTGACTAGTACTATGGCATATTCAATGTTGATTATTATAAAATATTTATATACAATGTTTATAAAACGCCATATAAGACGTATATTTGAGCGTAAAAGCGAATTACGAATTAACCCTATAATATTTCACTTAATATTTCTGAGTACTTTTACTGTGGATATTGTAAAACTATTCAAATAACGTTTAAATGAAATTTTAAATGCTCTTTAAAAAAATATTTAAAGATATTTTAATTAGTTAATTTTATTCTGACGATTACCGATAGTAATTGAATAATTAATTGCATTTTGTTTTTGAAAAACAATGAAAATATGAAACAATGAGAAAAAAATTTAATAATTTTAAAAAAATTATGGGAGAAATAATTATCGAAAAAATACATTTAGATTTCTCACACAATAATAATGAATGATAATAATCAATAAAATGATTATTTTACTGCTTTTACTGTTATAACTATAATAATTATTAAGTATTATATATGAAAATCAAATAAAAATAATAAAATTAAATATTTTTCTGTTTGATCTTATAGAAAAGAAGATTTTTCGAAAAATTAAATAATGCTAGAATGTATGCTATAAAAATCATATAAATGTATTTGCATACCACACCTTATTATATAAATATTTTATTAAATAAGTATGTAAATTTCTTATTCTATAAGCTAAAATTATGTAAATGTACTATTTGTAGTGATTTTCTTATAACATAAAAAAAAGTATTTATAAATTATATGTAATGAAAAAAAAAATATTTATAATATTTTTTTGTTTTCGAGAAAAAAACATCCGTATTTAAATTTAGGTGTATTAATATAAAAAAAAATTAATAAAAATTAAAAAATAAATAATATAAGAATTGTACACATAATATGCAAATTGTATTGAAAAAACTTTATTTGAAAACACTAAAGAAAAAAAAATTACAAAAAATAAAAATCTTAAAAATATAAAAAAAATAAAAGAATAAAATAAAATAAAAAAAAAAGAAATACAAAGAAAGAAAAAAAGGGAAAAATAAAAAATTTAAAAATAAAAAATTAAAGAAAAATTTGAAAATAAAAACATTTTGTTTTATTTTAATAACCTATTGTTAGGCGGAGTTAAAAATACCTACACACAAAATATACCGCTAAGAGTTCTTTATATGTGTACATAATATAAAAAAATCGGTGTGGAAACACTAAATTTCAATTAATAATTCATTTAACTGAGTCATTATTTATAATATTAGATTAAAATACACAAACATCCTCTTGAAACTATATTATAAGAGTTTGTAAAAAGAACCTTCATATTTTCGTTAGAATTCAATAAGAAATCATAAAAATATTCATAAAAATTAATTTACAAACAATTTTCTGGTTAGAGAACGTATAATATTAACGGTTATACGTTATTAGGGTAGTTATACGTATTTGAGGGTTAAAGATTATTGCAAAAAATAATGAAACTATTGTGAATTTACACTTTTTCCTCAGTCTTGAGATTCAAACCAGCGTTTCATTTTATAATTTTTGTTCTTTTTTGAAAACTAGATGTCGCTAATACGAGAAATTTATTGCATTTAGATTCGAAATTATATACTTACAGCATATGGCAATACCATACAATGTCATATGTTTTAGTTCATAAAAAATAACAAAACATTATTTTTGAAATAAAGAATTTGATTTCGTATAAAATATTGATAGTACCTTAGCTTTTTAATTAAAAAATATTAAAATAAAAAAAAGTAGTCACTATGTGTGATCAATTAATTCTTAGTCGTCAAGTTGATGAGGTTTTGGCGAGAAGCAAAAAATCATTACAAGAAATTCAACAAACTTTATCAAATCGTAATCAATGTTGCTGTGCATCACCAAAACATGGTAAATACCGCTAAAATACAAATTTTCAAAATTTTCACATTAATAATACATTTTAAGATTCTCTTCATTCAATAAGATCAGTTCAAAAAACTACAGAAACACCTCCACTTTGGGATAAAGAATTAATGGAAATTTATATGAAAAATCTTGTTGAAACTTATATTTGTGAAACCCCTCAAAATACAACTAAAATAGAAACGATGAATAGAAGAGATGAATCAGTGATGGTAACAGATGCTGATTTAAAAGAAAATCTTAAGTATAGTAATGAAGAAAAAAGTTTTGATGATGATAAGTCTATACAAGAATTTAAAGCTAATTGGAAACCTGTTGTAAGAAATTTAGAATTAAAAAAAAAAGCCAAAATCAAAACTTCAATTACCCCACGTTCAACAAGAACGGCAAGATTAAGAGCTGAATTAAGCCGTAAAAGTTTGTTGCAACCACAAAAAGATTCTGAAAGTAAAAAAATAACATCAAAAAGGAATGATCTTGAAATAACAAATAATGAACTGTTTCATAGATTTATTAATCCTAATTTGGGCGACAAAACATTTTTCGAAAAAAATGATATATCTGTTGTTCATAATGGATCAAATACAGTATTTCCTACAAGAATATTTAAATTAACAGAAGCTCAGGAACTAGAGAAAAACACTTCTACTAATAAAATAGATAATGTTGATAATATTGATCAAGATAATATTGATAATTCAATTGATCATATAGAAAATCACGATTCGAAAGAATCAGTACAAGAAAATAAAGATGGGAGATCAGATAATATGGATACGAAAAAATCATCTACTTGGCATGACGTCCTTTTAGAAAAAACAATCAAAAGGCATATTTACAAAACTTCTTTCCAAAAGGAAAATAAATATGTTTTGCAAATGAAACCTAATCCAACCGTGGGGGAAGATAAACTCAATAAGCCCGATCACTCTGAAGAACTTTATTCGAAACAAAAAATAAATACACCTCATCGTAAAAAATTAATAAATTTAGGTAGGCACGACTTGGAAGTTAAAGAAGAATCAGAAGGAAAATTTAATAAATTGACAATAACAAATTTGCCTACGCTTTATATAAAAGGGGAATGCCAAATTCAAAATTCTTTTTCAGTTCACATAGAGCCACAAAGAATGAACGAAACTGGCACTAACAATAATAAATCCAATGCAGAAAATACCAAATTTGAAGAACTTATTTATGGTCTCAAGGATATTAATGAAACTGTAAACGCTGAACAAAAAAATGGCTGTACTAAAGAAGAATATGAAACAAATGTGGAAGAAAAGTCAAATGTAAGAGAAGATCTAGATCCTACAAGAAAAAACGTAAATAGATATTTATTGCCTTTCATTAACTCCAAAACAGAATCATCCATAATAGAGGTAATAATGTTTTTAGTTGCCAAAGTTTTTAAATTTGCAAGCAAGATATTTATTTCAGAACACGTGCGAACAAATAGGAAACGATTCAGATTCATACGAAACTGTATCATCAACTATAGCTACAAAATCCAATTACAAAGGTTCCAAAGAGGAGATTTTGGAATCATCCAGCCAAACAGATGACCAAAAAATAAAATACAAATTTAAAAAAAGAAGAAAAAAAATTAGAAGTCAAGGAACTCAAGAAGCAAACGAAATCCAGAAAAACCAAGAAAATCCTTCCGAAATTATAAATTTCGTGGAAAATATAATGAAGAAATTCGAGGAAATTCCTGAATTAAACTTATCGGATACTGAATCGGAAAAAAGTTTGGCTGAAATAAACAGGTCTGATAATAAAACCCCACAGAAATCAGATTTGGTTTATGTGAATGATAAACATAAAAAAATTGAGCAAAAAATGAAGGATGCACAAAGTACACAATCCGAAATCTTAAAAACACCAGTTAAAAATGATCAAATAAATGAAAATTTAAATTCTCTAAATAAACAGGCTACAGTCGAAATGAAAGATACTGTTAATGCAATGACCGTACCCGAATCAAACAGTGATATTATTAACACTTTTTTTAAAAAGATATATTTGGATGAAACTGAAGGTCTTAAAACTTTTAAAAATAATAACAAGAAAAATCAAAATGAAACAACTCAAAATTTTGATTTTAATGAAATTAAGAGTTCCGGTATTAAAAGCAATTTATCGGACCAAAAGAAATATCAAAACCTACATGATTCAAATAAAGCACATACAGTCTCAGTAGGTTGCAATACGGAACCAATATTAAATCAATCAAAAAAAATAAAGGAAAAATATACTTCGGATAGAAAAGAAGGTATTTTTTTTTTTTCATAATTTTTTTTTAATACAAAATAATTAATAAAATTTTTTTATTTCCAATTTAAAAGGTTCATCTGAATCCCATTATGAATCGTCATCAACTTCAACGTTATTACAAGAATGTCCAAAAAATTTGCTAAAATCCCAAAAATCATCATCTGAATCATCACAAACATTTGACTCATGTTATTTTTACAATCAAAGAAAAAGTGATAATAAATTTAAATGCTTTCGAAATTGCAATATTTTGGGCTTGGAATCAAAGTTTTGTTCACGTCAAAAATGTTTCAATCCAAATAAAATGAAATTTTCTAATATTAAGGTATTCGGAAACTTGAAGAACAATATTTCTGACAGTTCATATACACTGTCTAATTCTAAGTCATATCATAAGGATGATGGAAAAACTAATATGTTTAAGAATTTTAGTGATAATTCAAATAAAAGTTCTTCCTTTGATACAATATCATTATACCAAGGCTATTTTCATAATAGTAAACACCAAAAACCATACGAATCCGAAGTAAAAAGAGCTGTAAAAAATTTTTTAAATTGTTTAGAAACTCAACCGAAATTGAAAGTACATCAAAAAGAAAATATGGATTATAATTTTGATTTAAAATTATCGGATATTCTTTTGACATCTAGCAATTTTTCAACATTTTCTCCAACAAACTCAAATGGCAGCCAAATAGATACAAAGAAGGAGATAAATCATCTTACTGATCTAAATTTACAAAAAGATTCTACTTTTATTATTGAAAATAAGACTGATACCGATTCATCTAAAATATCAATGAAAAATCTTATTGATTCTTCAAGAAATACATGTGATGTTTCATTAGAAAAATTTACTAATTTTATTGATGATCTTAATAACAAAGATCATTTGAATGACAAACTGGAAATTAATAATGATATTGCGAAACGAAAAAAATCAGTAGAATTTAATGAAGATGCTTTAAGTAATTGCTCTTCTAGTGATAACTCTTTATTTGTAGCATACAATAAACTTAAATCACGTTATAATGCTGAAAAACAAGTTAAAATAGAAGATGAAATAGATAAAGAAAATGTTTCTGACGGAGAAGTTTTTAGTTTAGGCGAAATTTAAAATAGGATTCTAGTCATTAAAAATTTTAAAATTTTATTAAAAAAAATTTATTCAAATTTTGTGTTTGAGTTTTTATAATTTCAGAATTAAGAAGATTATTTTTAATTCTAATTGTTCTAAGAATTGATATGAATTTTATTAATTTTATAATGTACATGTATTGTATAATAGTATTTAATTTCCCTCAAATCCATTTAACAGTATTATAATTAAAAATTTCTTTGACATGACATTTTAAAAATCCAAAATTTTTTATTTCATTCGAAAATTGTACATATCAATAAAGTAATTGTAAAATATAATTTAAATTTTTTTTTGTATTTAATTTTATATTAAATGTTTATCAATAAAAGACAGGCTCCAACCAGTATTAGGCGTCCCGATAATATTTATTTGTATATAAATATTTAATTGTTAATTGTTTAATTGAATTTGTTTATATATTATTCGTTAAAAAGAAAAAATTTTAATATATATTTTTTATTAAATTAAATTTTAATATCAACAAAATTGTGTGAAAAATCAACAAATGTGAATCATATTAGTTAAATAAATAATATGTACTAGAAATTTAATCAAAAAATATAAAAATATATTTGTATAGATTTTTTTTACCAAGAAATAAGTAGGTTTGATAAAAAATAATTGAATCATAATATTATTAAAATTTGTGCAAAACTTTCTAAAATTATTTTGCTCATACCAGTTTAAGAATTTGTTTGTAATTTACACAATCGATACAGGTTAATATTATTGAATTTTATTTGATCAATTTTACCAAATGACCAAATTTTATTTTAAATTATATTTACTGATTTATTATACTCATTCAAAATTAAATTTGGAAATGCATATCTACTTATTTCTATATTTAAATGCAATGATTGTTTTTTATTACTCTTTTGCATAATAGTTTTATAATCTCTTAAAATGTTCTGAATTCTTTAAAACAATCTTTAGTAATAATTATACAAGAAAAAAATTCGGTTATTTAGATTAAATTGAAAATAAAAAGTCAAATAATACTTTGGTGATCTCATTATTTAATTTGACCATTATCACAAAATATATTTTGTACACAATAAATTTAATTGTAGAATATCTTGAAAGAAATATGCAAGTTAAATTAAATATCAATTAACTAAAAAACCAGAAAAAAAAAATGGATTCATCAGAGAAGTTGAAGAACAAAGAACAAAACAAAAACATTGTTTTAATTATTTTTTAATATATAAGTATATTATATATATATATATATAATATTATAATGCAATATTATAATTACATTAATATTTTCATCCGGAGAAAATTTTTGATAAAATTTTAAAATACAAAGCATAATATTTTTTCTATATATTTATGTATTGAAGTATTTAATATTGTGTGTAGCAATTAAATTAATTATTTGTAAAAAGCATATTTTATAAAAAGAAAAATTTTGAAACTAAAAAATATTGCTTTTGCTGGATAATTGTAATCATATAAAAATTTTATATTCATCCATATTCTAATGGTTAGTCGCATCATTCAACCTATCAAGGGTTTTTATTCAAAAAGTTTATAATTATGTGAATAAAATCAATTCTAAAATTAGAAATTCTGCTACAAAATACTTTTCAATAATATTCCAATCATTTTGAGTAATGCGATTAAGAGAATATGGGTGGTTATCTATTATTCAAAAAATTTAAGTAAATAGTTCATAAAGTTCAATTGCCTCTAATATTTTGATATTTTTTTGTTAAATAGAAAATTAAAAAATTTTACGAAATGGCCGTCTTTACGATGCTAATATTATGTACAAAATATTTCATATAACTAAATATTATTTAAATTTTTATTTTAAAAATGTTTTAATTAATAATAAGATAATTGGAAATAGAAAATATTTATGAAACCACAATGAATATCTTAAGGTATCTAAATATTAAATTTATAATTTGTATTTTTGGAAATATTTTCTTAAATGTAAATTTTAGAAATAAATTGGAACAAAGCAGCGTTTAACAAAAAACAAATGTTGCAATAGAAGCTACATCTAAAATGTACTAAAATTTTATGCTTACATATTTTATAGTATTGGACAAGGAAACAAAATTCTTAATCAAGAACATTTTAATTATTAAAACGTTCTTAAAACGCTGTTCCAATTTTATTTTGAACTTTTTTTCTTTCTTTCTTTTTCTATAGAACAAAACAAAAACAAAAGAAAAAACAAAAATTTAATAAAAAACGCTTACTGACTTGTTGATTTTCGGTTGACCCTGTAAGTTTCATTATCAATAAACTTAAATAAATAATATGTAAAGATTTTATTCTACTTTTCTATTTTCTTCCTCATAATTTAAAAACTTAGAAAATCTATTGCATTATTTTTTGAATTTTAATTCAGTTTCGATTCGAATTTCAGAACGTTTCTATCGTAAAACTAAATAAAATTTTTTTTATGTTTTGTTCTTTTTTTTTGTCTTCAAAATGAAATATTTACTATTATTAAATTCAATTTTAATAATAAATTTAATAAATTATGATTTTGTTATTGGTTTTAAAGAATCAAGATATTTTTGGGGATCATATTGCCATATAAAAGATACAATACGTTTTTGTGAAAAATTCGATTTCTCACAATATGAAAATGAATCAATAATATTAAATTATGGTAATTTAACAAAAATAAGTCCAGCTGGTAATATATGCTTACAAAATTGTTATTTACCAAAATTACCAGAAAATTATTTTGATGCATTTCCAAGTATTGAAAATATGACAATAAGAAATTGTAATTTTAAAAAATTAGAATATGAAAATTTTAAACCAAAAAATAATAAATTATTAACAAAAATTGATTTTAGTAAAAATTTATTAAATATAATACCAGTAAAAATTTTCACATCAATTAATAATTTAGAATCATTGAATTTAAGTGATAATAAATTAAATGAAATATTAACTGATTCATTTAATGGTTTACAAAAATTAAAAATTTTAGATTTAAGTAAAAATCAAATAAAAACAATTGAATCAAATACATTTAATATTATGAAAAATTTAACAAAATTATATTTAAATGATAATCAATTAAAAATATTAAATGAAAATTTATTTATAAATAATTTCAATTTAAGTGAATTACATTTATATAATAATGATATTATTAATTTAAATGAAAATTTATTTTCAAAATTATATAATTTAACAATATTAAATTTATATAATAATCAAATTGAAATATTACATCCATTATTATTTCAAACATTAAAAAATTTAAAAATATTAAATTTAAATAATAATTATATAAAACATTTAAGTACAAATCATTTTGAGAATATGGAAAATTTACAAGAATTATATATAAATATGAATCAATTAGAAATATTTGATTCAATTGATATATTTAATAATTTTGATAATTTAGAAATATTAGATTTATCTGGTGGTTTATTAAAAAATAATAATATTAATTTAATATTTAATTTAAATACAATTAAATTAAATACATTAAAATTATTAAATTTAAGTTATACTGGTATTAAATATTCAACATTAAATAAACATTGGTATTCACATTCATTAGAAATATTAGATTTATCATATAATAATATGAAAGAATTTGAAATACAAATATTATATCCAGTTAAACATTTAAAATATTTATATATTGATGGTAATAATATAAAAAAAATTGATTATTATGATGAAATAATTGTAAAACGTTTAAAAAAAATTGGTATTACTGGTAATCAATTTAATTGTGATGATTTAAAATCAATGATTAGATATTTTCATTTATATGGTGTTATTTGTGCACCAAATAATACTTATATACCAAAAACACCAAAATATATAATTGGTATTGAATGTATTGAAAATAATCAATTACCATCTGATAACAATAATAATAATAATAATAGTTTAAATAATAATAATGATTTAAATATTAATTATGATTCAAATGAAAATAATAATGATATTTCAATTAAAAATAATAAAAATGAAGATTATAGTTTTTTATATGATGAAATATCACCATCATCATCATCATCATCATCTAAAGGAGATAATTTACAAAAAAATTTATATATTACTGTTAAAAATAATCAAGATTTTAATAATTTTACAATTATTTTAATTATAATATTAATATTAAATTTATGTTTAATAACAAGTGTTTTATATTGGATTTATCCAATAATTTTAAATCGTAATAGAAATATTAAATATTTAGATATTAAAGATAGAAATCCATTTTCAGAATTAAATGAATCATAGTGTTTTTTTTTTTTTTTTATTTTTTCTTTGTATATTTTTTTGTATATTTTGTTAATTATAATTATGTTTTAGCCATAGAAATGGTTTTGTTTAGTATCTTTGTGTAAAAATGTATGTATATTTTTTTTTTAGATCAGTGTTGTAAAATTAATTAAAAATGATTATTCGAACAATTTAAAATAAAAAAAAAATGAATTGTAAATATTTAACATATAAGTAAATAAATAAGGTAACAGACGCAGTGCACAAGCTACCCCAATTGTATAAGTCTACAAATCTATACCCTATAATAAATTTATGTTATATTTGCTTATATAATTTTTTCAATTATAATAATTTGTTAATATTTATGAAATTTTGTCGAGAATGCTTTTAAAGAATGCATTTAAATCTTGGAACCCTTTATAACATTTCATATAGTAATTAAATATCTTTAATTTTTTTTCTATATGTTTCATATTTGTACACAACACTGATTTATTTTTTAGTGTATATTTTACAATATAACGTTTTGTATATTAATTATTAAATATTTAATTATAAATTTTTGTATTTTATTTTTGTATTAATAAAGTAAAAAGTATTGAATAAAATTTTGTATTTTTACTTGTTATTATTAATAATTTATTAATAATATTATTAATAATTTTTTACTGCTAATTTTAAATGTAGGTATAGCTGGTACCTATTGAATAACAAGTGAAAATAAAATATTAAAGAATGAAGGGGTTGGGGAAAAAATTTAAAAAAAAAGATCTGATAGATAAAATGTGATTTTAACAATGTAAAGAGATTTGATTATAAAATTTAATAAATTTTGCCGTTCTACGTGTGACTTGGGTGACCTTAGATCTTAATATAAAAT